GTGTAGTGCTTTTTCACAAGCCATGTGTTTGGAAAGTAAATATTAATAATCAGCTGGTCATCTTTGTAAAAATTGTTTGCCCTCTTCCAACCGACTAAAAACAGTAAAAACAAGGAAACGATTATTTCTTTTATTCATTAATAATCATTTTAACTTCACATTTGCAAGTGCAAGAAATATTAATTTTGCTCATTTAATACTGTATACCTACCTACTTTTTAATCTCCAATTGAAAGAGGGCAAACATACAAGTTTTGGGCATCATTTACCTTATTTTCACAGTTATATGAACTTCATTAAAGTGAACATTAATTTTTATAAAAATTAAAAAATAATGTTTATGGATATCCCTTATGATTTATATGCATTTTTATTTCTTGTTTCTTTTTAATTTATAGAATGACATGTATGTCCCCTATGAATGTTCTTCAGAAACATGCATAGTAAGGGAAGATCATAAGGAATGTCCAACCATCTACACCAAAATCCTTGCTGTGATAAGCCTATCAGGTAAGTACATTTCTAATTGTTGTAGTTTTTAATATAAGTTTCTAAATGTTTTTATGCCCCCCTTTTTGAAGAAGGGAGGGCATATTGCTTTGCTGCTGTTTGTAGGTTGATCTGTCTGTCTGTTGGTCCATCATCAGTTCTTTTCAGAGATTGCACATAATGGAATGAAAGAGTTAGGTTCAATTTATGCATAAAATGGCCCTGTACTTATCAATTAAGTATCTATCACCCTCTCCCATTTTTATATATCAAAATAAAGTAGACACTGGGTGCTTTAATTTTCTGACAAACGATTTCTTTTTGAGAATCTTGATATTGGAAAATAGGCTTTGAGAAATTTTAATGTGCAGAAAACATGTGTACAGCGATTTTTTTCCACCAATTGGGAATGGGTCCGATACCGGTTCAATTGGGAAAAATTATATCGAAGAAAAACAGACAAATTTTCTCTCATTTATGCAAATGCAATGTATTTTGCGTTTATTCTAAATTAATTACCTATTACTCATTGTTTTAAAGAATAAGCAACAAGTACTTATTGTTTTTTATATCAACGTCCCATGCTTTGACATTTTCATGCTTTCAATTTGTCGAAATGTATGACACTACGCTGTCTAACCCACATGTCCCGCCAAATTACGACTTTCTCTACTTTCAATTTAAGTGGAAGTGATCAATTAGTCAACTTGTACAATGTTTCATTTAACAAGAAATTCGATGTTGTCGTAGTCTGTTGCATCACAGTTGAATTGGGAATTTTTAGTCACAGAATTGGGAAAAATTAACGTTTTTTGGCATTTTGAATGGTGCCGTTTATCGGTACCAGTTATATAAGGAAAAAAATGCTGGTGTATTTGACTACCTTCAGCAAAGAATTAAAATATGAGCTAAGCCCACCATCCAAAAAATAAAAATGTCTTTTGATCTCCAGAAACCGATCTTTCATTATGTATTTGCATATTTGTTGTGCTCTATATAAAATATAGAAAAAATACTTCAACTTTAGGCCATTTTCAAAGAAATTTACAGGATATGAGGAAAATGACACAATTTATGACATCATAATGCATTGACTAGAGGGAAAATTATGTCATGATTAATAGATACATGGTCACCAACACTTTAAGTGATAAATACTGCATTTGCAACCTAACCTAAGCAGTTTTCATTTTTCAGAAAGTCTCAGGGCCAAATAAGGTCCAAAGTGGCTCTTGCTCTTTGATATACAGAAAAAATTGAGAACCATAGATTTACAGTGTATCCTAAGAATTTCTAGGTCAAGCTCTATTTGGTGCGATTTGGGCATTTTTGACAGAGTTATGCCCCTTGGACTTAGAAAAATTCCAATCATTTGGGGGAGAGGGTGCTAATAAATAAGTCTTTGAGTACAAACATTGTGTACACATTCTTTGTTATTTTTTATTTTTTGATTGAATGTAAGAAAGAACAAATTTTTGTGTTTTAAATAGCAGTTTTGAATTAAGGGGATTTATTTCTCCATGGTTCCTTTTGAATCAATTCCTGAATAAAAGAGAACTGGTTATAGAGAGCTAATTGTTCCTTCTGTATAGTATTTATTAGGTTTATAGCCCCTCAAACAACCTGTCTTTCTATGCAATCTTTTCCAAGCTGTACTTGAATGAAATTTGTACATTTTATTTTAGGTTATAATCTCAATCTATTACATGATTACAGATTAAAATTTATTTAATATGTCTTGACCCTAAGATGTATAGGATAGGATCACAAAAGAAGGACTCAAGCATTTAAATTTCAGATTTTATTTGAAACATATTGTATTTGTACTTAAAATAGCAGGCTTCTTTTTTTAGTGACTTCAGTGCAGACAATGATGCGCTAATTCATGAATACCACTAAGAAATAATATATAAGTAGAAAATACGTACGGCACAAACATGTGTAGCGCCAATTCATTATTACACTAACAAATCCATATCCATCGTTTGTGCTAATTAAATTTTGAATACGCTTAATTATGTACACGTATAGTGTTATGTAATAATATTTTAAAAGTGAAAGTCAAAATTAAGAAGTTTGAAAAACATGCAGATAAAAAATGTCAGTATTTTAGGCTTTTGAGCTCCCAAATGTATACACTCTCGTACATGTCACTTTCATTAACAGTTTTCCTTTGAAAATTTGTAAACAATATGAAATTTTTCAATAATTTATTCAAAAAAAGAACTCTGAAAATAACATTAATATTGAATGCTCTAATTGAATTTCAGGACATCAGCAAAAGATAAATATGCAATTTTGCAAGTGTGAGACGGAGTCTGTCACTTTGGTCAGGTACAGACTTTGGCCATCTTCTCCTGAAACTCCCCGTGTTGCATTTGATTTTAAATTAATGGAATTGGCTGTGGTTCTTCAGCTTGAGGGGTGCTTATCTTTAAAAGCCTTCTGTGATGCCATCATTCAATCTCAAAATGGATTTCCTGTCATGGTGCGACCTGATGAGGTAATTGTTTGATATATATATGATATATTAAATTTTACTATTGCTTTATAGAAGATCCTATTTAAGAGAGGATTGACAGGAGATGCATTGCAATAATGATTATGATGCTTAGTTGTCTTCTATGTATCATTATTTATTGCAATGTTGATAAATGGCAATTTGTAACAAAGATTCTGTGAAAGTCTTATAAATTTTATTTAGTGGTATAAGAAGAGTTTCTGATAAGAGGTGGGTAGCCTAAAGCATAACAGACAGACGGACATCCTGATCACTATGTACCCTCCCACTTTTCAAACAGGGGGTATAATAATTATAACATTTAAAAGAGTTATTTATGCCTGCATCAGCATGATCAGTATAAGTTTATAGGAATCTTTTAAGAGGAGTAACAATTCAAACAAACAGTTAGATTTATATATTTATTCACATGTTTATTAACTTTTTTTAATGGACATGCAAGCAGCCTTATAGAGTTGAAGATTTTCATTAAAGTTGAAGGTCACAGTAGGCAATTAAATTAGACTGAAGAATTAATTTTATTGTATCACGATCATGAAGATTACATGTATATTCTGAAATTTTTGCCTGCTCTTATTTTGTATATTTGTTTAATGGACGTTGAGATTGAATACTGTTCGTTATTTCCATATCCTTCATGTAAATTCTGAAATTTCCGTATGACAGAAACTGGATGCCATCTGATTAAACTGCCATTTAAATACAACTAAACACAATTAAATTGTATATCATCATCATCATCATCATCATCATCATCATCATCACTGCCTTTATACAATCTCTATATACCCAGAGTTATTGTTCCACTTGTACCACTGTCATTGGCTAAAAAGTTCAGCATCAGTAAAACCAGATATCTTATGAAGTGCATATTTTCATTGCCAAAAGCTTACAGTAAATATTTCATGTACTACACGTATGTTACTGTACCAACAGGTGAAAGATATATACAGAAGTCTTGTTGGGGATTCTTTCAATGAATATCGTTTCCATAGATCACAGTTTAACAACAGAGAAATGTATGATGAAAACCATATTGAAAATGCCAATGAATGTCCTATCTGTTGTGAGGTATGTTTGTGAAAATGATAAACATGAATCTAGATACATGTTACTTTTTTCCATATCAGATTGAGTTTGTTTATATTTAAAGTACATTGAAATATCTACTGGTTACTTCAGTGGGAGACCTGCATGGGTATATATATCATGTATTTTGATAAAAATTGTTTGAAATGTATATAGTATCTTGACTTTTTTAGGTAAAAATATTTGCAAAAGATATCTATACACTTGAACACTTTGAAAAATGAAATTTATTCATTGCTTTTTTAACAAAGAATGTTAGAAGAAAAATGTGATAGTATTCACATTTTTGTATTTGCAAGATTTCAGAGTTCTTTACATAGAATTCAGATTACAAGTTTCACTGAGGCTGCATTTCATTTCCAGAACTTCCTCTTTATTTTCAACTTTTCATTCCTACATTTTAAAGTTTTCACCTCCAACATTTTTCACGCAGTACTTTATGACAATTGGAACAGGATTGAAGATTTTACTTATAAAAAAAAATATGTAAAGCAATATGAGCTGCAACTTTGTATGATGTTGCAAAATTGAAATGAAGTATTCAACAACAGAAAAAATAAAGTTTTTAAACTGCTGTTGTTCTAATTTGCAATGAATGAAGTATTTATAAGCTTTGAAAGAAGCAAAATTACAACATTTTCGTCCTGCACAATATTGATATGTTATTTAAAACTATGAATTTGATTGTACAAAATCTGATGTTATAGCATTTTGAAGCTTTACTTCTGTCTTATTGATTGAAAGTTTTTAAATTACGTACAAATTAGTCATAAAAAACTTGTATGAAATGAAATGCAGCGTTCACTGTATATCTATCAGTGGACAGAGGAGGGATTCATTTGTCCATGTGTTGGAAGTATTTTATCAAATTTTTTTTTATTTAGAGAATTATTGTACGATATGAATTTTCAGAGTGAAGTAACTAAAATCCTTTCCTTGGATGGTAACTTTGGTCTTGTACATAAGAAATCATCAGGAGAGGGAAGTGGCATACCCAGAAGAAAAGAAAGATTTTTCATGGACCAAGACAAAGTTGATGCATTTGTGTTAGCTTATGGTCTAGATACCAAAAAGCAAAGCATTGTAAGTGTCTTATTTTATTAAGGTATTCAATGTATAATGAAGGGATATTGAGAGATTTTGAATAAAA